GCGACCCATTTAGCGGGTCGTGGCCCCCGGACTAAATCCCGAAAGTGACATCCGCATAATGGCTTTTTTAATTGAATGTTTGTTTGCTGCCAGTGACAGTTCGTGCCCAAACAGTTAACGCTCGTAATCTGATATATTTATGCAACCCGCTCGACTTTCGGGTGCGAACTGTTGCATTCCACCCCTTTGAAATTCGTTTCTGCTTCTAATAGAAAAACGGTGCGTCGTAAATTCGAGCAGAACAATCGGTAATTAGTGTTAAGAGAACATCAAAATTCAATTATCTGCACGTGTTAAGTGCGTTTCAATTACATGCTCTGTGGTAATCATACAGAATTTCTCGCAAGTGTTGTACAAATCAAGAGCTGCACGTGCTGGGGAAACGATGAAACATTTTGTGATTTCTTTGTGTGTCTGAGTTTTGCATTGTTCTGAGAAATTAGCTCGACACGCTTGGATTCATTTGTGATGAAAACCCCGATTCCTCTTGTTTTACTGCTAATTAACATTTTTTTACTAACCAAACTTTAAAAATAATCTAATGATCAGCCTACTTAAGATTCAAACATTCCTTTTTAGTTTCTTCATTCCTACATCTGGCAAGCAGAGTTTATACAGATTTTCTTAAAAAGACGGTACAAAATGTTTTATCTCTGAGAAACGACCAAATATCTTTTTGTTTTGGTTCAAATTTTTTTCTATAATGATTGATGTCTTTTCCTAACTCATCAACCCTGTTGAACTTAAATTTGCAAATCTGTCAAGTGCCGCTTAGAGATTTGAAGATTAGTGTTTCCCCGTAGCTTCTATAGCTATTAATAATTGGGCCATAATTTTCCCCGCTCCTCTCTGCAGAGTTGTAAAATAATGTATTTCAACTTTGGGACCGACTCCCGCAGGGTGACGAAACGAGAGCGATGTATCTGCGAGCAAAAGAGCGCATTTCCCACGTGATTTGTGGCCAAGCTGGACCCAACTCTGAGCTGATTAATAAAACCCCGTCGAGAGAAATGAATTACGTCAGGCCATTGTTGGCTCCGACTGCGTTTTCTGTGACTTGCTCGGCCCTGATTGAGGCGTGCGCATCGCTAATGAGACAATTTGGTCGGCGGTGGGCCCACCAGGGCGTCCCTTTAATGACTCCCTGCTCCCAGTTCGGCACCACGCTTGACACTCGGCCGTGAAAAATTAGACGCCTTTTGACCCGAAAATCTAGTTAGCGCCAAACGGCAGCTTGACTGGCCCAAAATCTGATTATGCACGCAGTGACGGCAGAGTTATTATTTTCGAGTTCAAATGTCCACTTGGCTCCTAGTTTTGCAGAGAGCTGTTTGAAATTGCCTAGTTGGGAAATTAAATTTTTTTAGAATAGATTTTAATTTTAAAGGAATAACAATGAATGTTGTTATTTGTTTAGATTAAATTTTTTTACAATTAAATTTGTTATTTGCTACTAAATTTCAATATATAATTTAATATTTAACTTTTATTGGGATTAAGAAAAATATAATGGATAAATTAGATGCTGCTGAAACCTGAAACTTTCTTATTCTGCATTTTACTTTCAATTATCTTGACATGTTGTTCAAGAAAATTTTCAATATAATGTGAATTCAGACTTTTATTTTAATTATTGTATTCAATAAAAATGTGTGTGTGTCTATTTATTTTGTTTTTTGTTCACCTATATGTTTGATAAATACAAAATATTGTTTGTTCAATTCAGATTTATTTGTCCAAACATTTTGAATAGAGGAAAAACGGTTTACAATTGAAGAACGTACTTTAAAATGAAAAATAAACTGACCCCAGAGGGACTTGAATGCAGCATAATTGTACAGTTTTCCATGCCCATTCATGCCTATATCTCTATCTGAATAAATTAAAAAGGACCCAGGTTAGAAATGAAACCAGTTTTGCGTTTTCTAATTAAATATATATTTTATTTAGATATTGAGACGCAGGGTGGAGGGAACTAACAATAAGATCCATTCTACCCTAGAGCATCTCAGGTGTAAATTTTACGATTCTCATAAATTACTGGGCGAACAAATCACGCGTTTTTGCACAGGGGAGAAGCAAAGGCGTAAACTAAACAAAACCGCGAAAACGTATAACTCTTGTTCGTCCGGTGGAGGCCGCTTTTGAGATTTTTTTCCGTTCTCATGGAACCTGGCGGCCGTTCGTCCTCCCACAGCTACGAAAAGTGAGTAACGAGCCGCACGCAGCTATTTTGGCGTCATTTCTTTTCATTTTCAATTTTCTCGCCTGCTCGTTCATCATCGGAGGTGTTTCTAGAGGAAATTACACGCGCGGCGAGAGCGATAATTACGAGATTGTTTCGCGGCTGACAGCGGCGTAACCAGAGCCGAGCGCGTGTGTCTCGCCGCCCTTCGGCCCCGGGGTCGCTCGCCCGCGATAATTAATTCCGAATCCCCGCTCGGGTCGGAGCAAGGGGGTCACAGGTCGCTGGGCGTTGCTATAATAATTTCACTACCAAATAACTGACTCGGGTTCCGCCCCACTTCTCGAAAATTACACAGCTCGTAAAAATAAAGAGCAAATGTGAAATGCACTGTGTATAATATTCAGCGCGCAGCTTTTTATTGATTTGTTTATGGCTCGGCCGCAGCGCGAATATTAAATTGCAGCTTTTATTTATTGCCGCCGCGCCGACACCAAAATATGAGAAATTCCCTTGCTTAAGACAATGCCCAACAATTCACAAAACCGCACGAGTACGCAGACCAGAGGTGCTCCTTTTTATTATCCGCGAGTGCCGCTCTTTGGATTCCGGCACACAATTTATGGAGAGAGAGACCAACCAACATGCAAACGCGAGATTTACTGAATTGGATCATGCAATTGGGCTGGCGGTTGCGCTCGTAAATCCTCTTTAGCTCCTCTCTCAAGAAGTTACGGTAGAAATTTGTTTTAAATTTTAGATTTCTTTAATATTTAAACTTCAAACAAGTTTGAAAGGTATTTTCTGATTGATATAAATAAAAGCAAAATATATCTGATTTTTTAGTACATATTGGACTTGCTACTTCAAAATTTTTATACAATAATAAACTAATTTTTTAAATGTACATGTACATATGTTTTTGAACTAATAAATATATATCAAATTAAAATCATATATCAATTAAAAAAAATACGAAAAAATCATTGAAGGGCTCTTTACCAAAAATATCTATCATTAGCTTTGAGAACTGTAGTGATACATTCTGTGCTAAAATTTAAACAATTTAATTAGTAAATTATTTCAGTTTATTGAGTTTCTCTTCCGCATTGATTTAATTGATTAATTTCCAAGAAGACCAAATTTAAATAGTTGCATGATAAACAGACGATTTATTATTTTATTCTCAAAATTTAAAAACAGTATTTTAGTGAGAAGGAATTAATTTATCACTATTAATGTGAATTAAAACAATTTAAAATCAAATAATTGTTGCATACTACATCTTTAACCCATGTATGAGTTGACTTCAATCAACTTCAATAACTAGGATACGTTAAAATTTATGTAAAGCAATTAATAAATTAATTAATTGATGCATTTTTGTTACCTGCTATATTTATCCCGCCCACCGGGATAAACTTAAAACTTTTATATATCTCTTGTTTGAAGGAAAATTACCGTTTTTTATGTAATATTTGGGAAGATCATACAATTCTTGAAATTTTAATCAAAACAGAAACCTTTAAAAATCTTCCCAAACCAATTTTTACGCTTTTGTAATGTCACAAGCAGAGCGCATGGCAAGCTCAGAGTTAGCCCAGCAGCGAGCTAGCCGAGCTAAAACGAGCAAGAAAAGGGGCAGTAAGAGCGTATTTAGCTCCAACCAGTATCAGGAGCGCATGGAGCGGTAGGAGGTATGTTTTTCGTTTTTCGCTGATTTCGGCCGAATTATACCATTTTTAGTGATTCTATTGACTGACATTATTAAATGGAAGGGAGATAATTATATTTATGATGAAATTTTGGGTAATATTCAAATTTAAAGCCTCAAAATGATGAAAATAAATTTATCCCGCTGTGGCCAATGCTGATGAAATGGCCTCCACAGTGCTAAATGACGCGCGCCACATTCAGTTTTGTTACAATTCCCGTATATTGATTTCAATGCTGATTTTTTGTAGATTAAGGGTTATTATTTTGTTGCTTTTGAATAGAGAACGTAAGTAAATGATTCATAATCTTGATTAATTAATTTTTTTTAAATTAACATAAAAAATTTAAAAAAATCAGATTTTCTTGAATTCTAGACTATGAAAATTGTTCAGAAGTTAACACAAGCAACTTTATGTGAAAGTAACTAATTTGTTGAAATAAAATAAAAGGGTTGTCGATCTAACTTAATTAAGATCACTTGAGATGTCAACTGAATGCAGCTCAAGAGGGGTATTGTAAAGCATTTTAAATTGTCATTTTTATTTTAATTGACCAATTTTTATGTATTTTATTCTGCTGCTTCAAATTCCAAAATTTCAACTTATTTTGTTCCTTTGAAATTATGTTCAAGCCTTAGAAGAAATCGGATATCATTATAGATGTGTCAATCATATAAAAATTAATTTATCTTAAACAAGTTTGAAATTATGAAATTCTAAAAGACACTTTCCAAGACGAGTTGCAATTATTATTGAACATCTCGGTAAAGAGATTTAAGCAAAAAATTTAAAATAGCATCGAAAGTATGAAAACTACGTTATTAAATTTATTGAAGTTTATAAATAATATTTTATGCCTTCAAAACAAAAAGCTGTTAACTACGTTTCATAATTAATAAAAATGAAACAAATATGTTTATAATAATTTAATCAGCCTAGCTGTTTCAAAAGGCAATTGAGTCATGATCATACAAATGGTCCTTCTTAATCCATGGTTACTGTAAAAAGACTGATAATGGTAAAAGCGTCACGACACAGTGACGTTGAATTTCAAACGTGATAAAAACCATTATCAATCCCTACAACTGATAAAGATTCATTCGTTTCCCTGTCTCGATTTTGTCATTCTCGTTGCTTCGAAATGTCAAATTTGAAGTTCATTTTGACGTTGCTGCTATTTTCCGGGGTTAGTTCGGTCGATTTTGACCTGCGGTGCACTTCGTCCGTGTGCCAAGAGTGGCTGTCCAAGAACGAGTGCACGCCCAAGTTGGAGGCAGAGTGTGTTGCCAATGGCCGCATCTTTTCCAGTCCGATCGAGTGCGGCTGCTGCGACTACTGCGTCTCGTACCTGCCCAAAAACGCCTCATGCAACATCGGACAGCCGGGACAGCCGACCGCGTCCTTCATCTGCGGCGGCGGACTCACGTGCATGAAGGACAAGGACGAGGAGCACGCCACGTGCAAGCGGATGAACACCGAGTGCCACACCAAACAGGACGAGTACGATGAGAAGAAGGAAAATGGGACACTCGGACACTTAATGCAGTGGCCTGTGTGCGACGACAGGGGCCAGTTCGCTACCGTCACGTGCATCCCTGGTTCTGTCTGTTACTGCACAAGTCCGAAAGGTGGGATAAAAACTCAAATAGTTTTAGTGGCGACTGAAAAAAGAATTTCCAATTATTTTTTTTACTAAAATTTGATCTATTCATTAAAATATTGAATGCATTCAATTGCATGGAAGTAATAAACGGAGCAAGGAAAAAAAAATATAATTTAAGTAAGTAAAAGAAGTTATCTTAAAGGATTTTAAGAAATCAATGTGTGTTCAATATCTCATTGATTAAGTTTTTATTGGCCACATAAAATAAATTCTTTCATTCAATATAATTTAAAATACAAAATCAAAATGCTAAATCATTTAAAATACAAGTCAAATTTTTATTTAATTATGCAAAACAATGTAACATACACTCATTTTAATATTTATCAATTATTTTTATTCTAACCTCCTAAATTTTTTTTATTATATATTTTTTTATAAATTAGAATTTAAAAAATTAAATGTACAATAACATAACCTTCATTCTTCAAAACTTTTTTGTCTCGAAATTCAGCATTTACTTTAAAATGTAATTGATAACACTACAAAATTTTTATATTATAAAGCTAAAATGAATATTTTTTTGTTTTTAATGATCTAGAGAGCGGTGAAATGAAAATAATTGAATACATTAAATAAAAATACAAAATTTGAAAAATAATTAATAATAAAATTTATTATAAACTAATTTTATGTTTATGCACATTTGTTGAAAAAAATGTTAAAACTAATACAAAAATTAAAACACTTCACACCTTTAACATTAAAAAATTAAATCCAGATATATTTAAATTATCTTTAATGAAAACAACCTTCATAATTGAAGCGGAAAGCTTGATTTGAAAAGTGTATGCATTCATTATTAGTATTATTACATGGAATATGCGGAAATTCCTATTTTCACAAGTTAAAATTTTCTATTTTATACAATAAAAAAATCATGATATAATATAATAATAAAATTCTCTCCTTCAACGTTCTCAGGTGATCGGCTCTTCGGGGAGGTGTTGTTCAGTTCACAGGAACTGATGACGACGATGCGTTGCGGATGCTCGAGGGACGCGTGGAATGCTGCCCAGATCGGGCTGGGCGACGGCGTCTTCTTCGCTCACTGCCTTCCGGACGGATCTTACGACCCTCTGCAATGCGTGGACGGCAACTGCGTGTGCATCGACCGCGAAGGGGGCATCGTGTCCGACGGTCGCGTGCACGTCGCCCTTCTCAACGTAAAAAGTCCCAACTGCTTCAACGCCAGTCTCGGACACACCAAGGCTAGCTGGGCCCGACCCTGCGAAATCAAAAGGTTTTTGTTTATTTTTTGCATTCAGGAATTAGGAAAAAAAGACGGCGTACGTCCTTCTTGACTGCTTCCTTTTTGGGGATGAGATGACGTACATTATATATATTAAAAAGAGTAAAAAAAGAGTGAGAGACTAATAATTTTATATAGGAAGTAGAAAAATTTTTTGGTCGAGGTTGAAAATTTATCAGTAAATTAGTTGAAGCTCTATAGGGAAGAAAATATTCCGCAAACAAGAAATGAAAATCTTTAAATTATTATTTTTATTTATAATAATTTATATAGGAATTTTTTTCCATTTTGGATGTTATGTTACTTTCCAACAGAAACAAGTTATTTACACGTTTGAATAAAGTGCGATTCTTTCTGTTTTCACACCCCATGCCCAAATTTGAAGTTAGCCGATTGAGATTTTCACAGCATAACAACCATGACTTAAAAGCAACACCCCTAAATTTTTTTGAAAAAATTTCTAAAATTGCGGGTTTTATGGGACATTTTTAAAAAATAAAAAAACCTAATTTTCTCGCGTTCTGTTGATCGTACAACAAAAATCCGGGTATGGTTGAATTTGTCTTGACGATTTCTACAAGTTTGCTGTTGAGTAAAAAGTTGTAGGTCAAAGTTCAAGGTCATTTTTCATGACCTCAATTTTTCAAACTCAAATTTGAAAATGGGCCGCACGTTTTAAAAAAATTTTGAGATTGCCATTCGATTCCTCATGAAATTTTACATAAAATATGTCAAAACTGGAGTGACGTTTTTCTTTGTTAAATTTAAAAATAAAAAAGAATATTAAAAAACGTGGTTTTTAGTGCCTCCGCAGGCAGGGTCAACATTATGATCGCCTTTAACGTCGTCCCTGATCATTTTAGGTAAAAAGTGATAATGACAAAAGTTGATGCCCACGTCAAGCCAAATCGAATGGTGTATATATTAATGGTCTTTGGTGACCTTCAGGTCAAAGGTCACCCAAGTCGGTGACCTGAGGTCACCTGACCTAGATGTGTGATACGTAATTAAAAAGGTCTCGTTGAGAGGATAATTTTAGTCACCAATTTTTGGTCTGTACCTCAACCACAAACCAATTAATTATAATTTTAAAATTAATTGTGTTGAAAATTGTGCATTGAATTAATGAAAATCACAATTAATCGGTTTGTGGTTGAGGTACAGACCAAAAATTGGTGACCAAAATTATTCTCTCAACGAGACCTTTTTAATTACGTATCACACATCTAGATCAGGTGACCTCAGGTCACCGACTTGGGTGACCTTTGACCTGAAGGTCACCAAAGACCATTAATATATACACCATTCGATTTGGCTTGACGTGGGCATCAACTTTTGTCATTATCACTTTTTACCTAAAATGATCAGGGACGACGTTAAAGGCGATCATAATGTTGACCCTGCCTGCGGAGGCACTAAAAACCACGTTTTTTAATATTCTTTTTTATTTTTAAATTTAACAAAGAAAAACGTCACTCCAGTTTTGACATATTTTATGTAAAATTTCATGAGGAATCGAATGGCAATCTCAAAATTTTTTTAAAACGTGCGGCCCATTTTCAAATTTGAGTTTGAAAATTTGAGGTCATGAAAAATGACCTTGAACTTTGACCTACAACTTTTTACTCAACAGCAAACTTGTAGAAATCGTCAAGACAAATTCAACCATACCCGGATTTTTGTTCTACGATCAATAGAACGCGAGAAAATTAGGTTTTTTTATTTTTTCAAAATGTCCCATAAAACCCGCAATTTTGGAAATTTTTTCAAAAAAATTTAGGGGTGTTGCTTTTAAGTCATGGTTGTTATGCTGTGAAAATCTCAATCGGCTAACTTCAAATTTGGGCATGGGGTGTGAGAACAGAAAGAATCGCACATTACACGTTTGAATAAAATAAACTTTACAAAAATTTAATGCTCCTGAATATTGAAAAATAATCTTTATATGTTTTTCAAATATTCATTTTCTTAAGTAGCAATGTCCAAAAAATGAATATAATTCTAAGAACATTGTTGAAATAGCTTTATAAAAATGATATTTTATCATCTTCAAGTATGATGTTATTGATGTTTTTAAACATAAATTTGAATTTTTTGATAGGTACAACAGGCTAGTCCTCGACAAGGCCCTGCGCGACGCTGGCGTCATGTTGTTCCCTGAGCTGCCTAATTGCGGGCTGGACGGTCGCTATGAACGCGTCCAGGCTGAAGATGAAGAGCTCTTCTGCTCAGACGAGTTTGGAGAGCAAATCGAGAACTTCCGAGTGGGCCGTTCTGATGCCTTGGCACGCGAAATGAACTGCCATTGCGCCAGGACGCGGTATTTGCTGAAGAACGCCGAGGCCGAGTCGAGCCTGTCGCCAGATTTGCCCTGCTGTTGTCTCAACGGAAACTTCCAGCCCTGGCAGTGCGTCAGGGGGCTTTGCTATTGCGTCAATGAACACGGCGCGCAAATTGACCAAGAGGTGCCTGAAGAAAATCTGGACCAACTCACTTGCTATGATAAAGATAACGCGTGCTGCTAGAATAATAATTTGTGTGTGAAATAATGTCCTTTAATTTATTGGTATCATTGAAAATTTCATTTCAGCTCATTTTGGGCACAATTGAAGTAAATTATGACCCTAATTATAGATTAACACATTTTTCTACATTGTAAATTTTATTGAAAATAAATGTTTCAATAAAAATTATTAGTTTCCATTTCATACAAACCATAATCTACGCTTCTCATGTAGTCTTTAATTTTTGTACCCACCAGTTTAAATTTCTGCTTCAAGCCTTTATTAAAATCAATATACATGTCAATAGATAGATAGAGTATTTATTGAACACAACTAGGTGTACAACGGAAATGTCAATGTGTCACGAAAATGATTAAAAATCTTTCCACGAACAAAGGGAACACCAATTTTTTGTCAACGTCACTTAACACTAAAAAATTCTCTTTTTACTTTGTTTTTTAAACTTAAACTTAGTAAAAATACTCTTAATTTTGGGAAATAAAACCTAGCTTTTTGAAAATTTGTTTTTGAAATTGTTTTTTTCAAATACTCAGAAAGCAAAAATGACTAAAATGAGTATTAATTGATAAAAAAAACTTTTACAATTTTTGACTGCGCCTTGCTTTAGACCATAATTCTTCTGTCAATAAAATTTTATTGAAAGTACATAATTAAATGCTATCATTGTCAGTGAGAATAGCCACTTATATTCACTTGCTACATTAATAGCAGTCGATTGAAAGTCCCCACGTGCTTGGCCAATGAAGCGAATTAGCGGCGAGCACCTGGGAGCAGGATGGACTAAATATGGGTGGCTGGTAATTTTTCTGCGCCGCGGTTCCGAGAACGCGCCCCCCAGGTGGACTACTTGCTACGTCCAGCGCTCGCTAGCCGGTACAATGGCTTCGGTGTTTCGGCCCCGCGAAACAATGCGATTTTATATTTTAAATTGGAAGATCCGTTTGGCGGTCGACATGTTTAATTATTATTCGTGCAGAGGACGATAATTAATGCGATTGTGCGCCGCCCACACTATAGCTAATTTAATTGTATGTGCGCGCAAGAGTAGTGCTTTATTGCCCAGATTGTAAAATATATACACACACACACGCGCGTACGTGTACACAGATGAAATATATTGCGGCTTATTGAAATTTTTATTGTTTGTGTTTGTATTATGTTAATTAAGGCGGGCTGCATTAACATAATGGCTATGCCCCGCATGTGCTGCCCCTTTATTGCTCTCCGCGCGCGGCACTAAATTGATTTAAGCCGGCGAATTAAATATTAAATTGCTCTCCCGCGCGCTCACATATTTATTGCTCGAATTATCATTATTATGTTGTGCTCTCGCACAGAGTGGAATATATAAAATTCAATAAAAGCCGTTTTCTCCTTGCTTTACGGCTGCCCCTGCCGGGCCGCGCGGAGAGAGCGCGCTGTAATTTATATTTGCACAAGCGGCCAAATTGATTCAAAACTGCTTCTACATTTTTCTTCTTCTCGTCGACGCCGCTTTTCTTTTCTTGCGGGCCGGTCACTCTCGCAAAAGCGGCGGCGGATCATGGCAATTAATCATGCGAATTCGCCGGTCAGACGTAACAGTTAAGACGCCCTCTCGTGAACTTTGAATCTCTCCTTAATGGACAAAAGCGTAATTTAGAATATATTTTATAAACCTGATAGCCGTTTGCAGAGCAAATTAAGCTCCAATTGTTAACCCTTTTTAATGGGTACAATCAACTTTTGTTGACCCAAGCAGCAAATTATCAGAGAGAAAATAATTATAAATGGGATTAAGGGCCAACCCATATGACATGAATGAGTTATAGCAAAATTATTTTTAACATAAGGAATCATAAAAAAAAAATACATTATAAATAAATATTTTTCAAGTTTTTAATTCTAAATATGCAAATAACTTTTCACTTATATTTAAGTTTAATATATAAATGATATTTTATCATCTAAATTATTAATTTTATTTTTTTAATTTTTACAACACTTATTCAAAAGTTGGAAGTGGCGGAAAAATTCACTAGCAAAAAGAAACAATATTAAATAAAACATAAAAATATATAATATATATTATGTAATTGATGCAAGGTTTCAAAGACCAGCAAATTGAGAAAAAAATTATGTGCATGACAAAGTAGTTAATTTGTAGATAAATTATAAAATAATTGTTTATTATCAATGGATTCATGGATGCGGAGTGATAGTAAAATTTAGAAATAAGGCTCAATTTTATCATGTTTTTGGTCAAGAATATTCAAATTTTGTTCACCTTTTGTTAGAATTTGAAATCGTTAGATATTAAATTCCGTCATTTTTTTATTATTTAATTAGAATTTAGTTCAACGAAATCAACGAAATGAGCAAGATTAAAAATATTCGCTTATTTCGCCGAAAAAAAAATTATTAAACAATTATTAAAAAAAAAATTATAATTATTAGTATATCTTTGGTTGAAAATAAATAAAAATAAAATGAAGTACATTATCATAGGCTTCAAAATGGGTATTTATTTATGAACATTCAATGACCACTCCCTGAAAGAGCCGTCAACTGACACGAGTCCATATTGGGCCCTTTTCGAAAAAGCCAGCACTTTTCTCTGATCCACGCTGCCTGTGCAGAACAATGGGTGAAATGAAGCGATCAATCTTGAGCAACGCATCTGCATGCAAGAGAGAACAAGTTCACGGCGGCGTTCGATTATTTCGGCCAACAATGGTCGCAACAATGGCCCAGCAGGAAGTGGCCGGCCGGCGAATGATGCCTTCATCTGCGCACGGGGTCGCAGGGGTCGCCGATCATTCATCTTCGCGAGCGGCCTCCAGGCCTCCGCCCCGGCGCGACCCACGCTCAGCGGGGGCAGTTCTTAGTGTTTGCCTTGGAATAAGGCACGCCGCGATCGCTGAGTGCAGTTACTTTCCAAATTATTATCATTTTATTTTAATTGCTGTTTAAATGCTTTATTTTTCCAAATTATACTTTTATTTTTAATTTTTTTTCTTAATCATGATTATTTAAAAGTTTAAGATTAACATTTATGAATATTGTAATAAGTGTATGTTTTAACTTACATTACTTTAATATATTTTATATTTAATTTTTTACACAATAAAAATATTTAAGTTAATTTTAGATAGAAATAATTAAAAAAATGTAGTTTCAATGTCATATAATAAATTATAAGTAGTGTTGGTTTTGTAGTGCTCAACGTAGCGTTATAGGGAATTACTTTCATTAATTCGTTTGTATTTTCCGGCGAGTCCCGTAGAAGGTTGTAAAGCGAGATTGATTAGATAAACATGAAATTTAATATCACAAATTAAATTAGTCGGGATTAAATTTAAAAAAAAAAAAAGGAAAAAAGCTCTAAATTTGACCTTTTTTTTCAAATTCAAAATATTTTCAATCATCTCAATGTGTATCTTGTAAGGTTACAAAATTATTTATTAAAGATTATGGTCTTTTAGTCCCACATGTAGGCTTTACCCAAGGGAAGTGTCTATTTATTAATCCCCGCAGCGAGATTTGTGGCTAAATCTGCGTGCGGCGATCTTTGAATTTGGCACGGATTGCGTGCGTGTGGCGAGATAGATGTTTTCGAAGCTCAGCTCTTTTAGCACCTCTGTGCCAAGTTGATGGACCCGCGGTGGTTCCCACGCCGCATCCGCCGCCGCCGCCCATCGCCACCCCCGACTATTGTTCTTCTCAAAAGTTTCGAGATCTGCCAACGTCTCTTTCTTTTTCCTGCAATCGCTCTCACACTCTCTCGCGAGCAGAAAATAGTGCGTGGGCCGAGTGAGGCTCCGGTAGCCGGTCATTTTTATAATTACCGCCTGTCACTTGCAATCTGGCTGACGAGCAACGGCGAGCCAGCGAATTATCATAAATACGTTCCACGAGAAAAAAGAAGGAGTCCGCAAAAAAATATAAATAAATAATTGCCTCTGATTTGTGCGTGCCGTGAATTTTAAATAAGACCTCACCCACTGCAGCTGGACCGGCGCACGGGCGTTTTTCTAATTAAAAATTTAATCCTCCTGTTTGCCAAAATTAATTAGTTTATTTGCCTATTTAAATGAATTGCCTCCCCTCCTTGATGTGTTTGATAGAGTTCATAAAAAAAGGTTTTGTACTAGGTTTTTTATCCTAGCGTAAGCTGTTCAGAAAATTACTCAACTGTTTTGAACAAAAATTTTATTAATTTTATAATTAATCTTTGATTGGTACAATATATTATTTCACCACACTATATTTAATTTTTTACTAGATTTTCAATAATTTGAAATGATTTTCAATTAATTTAATTAATTTCTCTTCAATTGTTTTAGTTTGTCACTCCAGAAAAGATTTTATATCTTGATCATTGATTGAAATCTTATTAGGCAAAGATTACGCTAAAAGTATTTGGCATTTTTTGTACATTTATAAATAGCCCTGGTAAAAAAATTTATTTTATTTTATTATTTTTCCCTTTTTTTAAAAACATGATCTAAAATGAATAATCATTTTAGACAAAAAAAATCAATTCTTGCTAACATTATGCTTATCAGCATAACTTAAAGTTTTTTTTTTATGATTTTTAATTAAAAATTAATTAATTTATAATTTTGCTGAAGAAAAAAATCATCCACTACCTACATAGGTGGTCAAAAAAATATGATAATTAATAATGTGTGGGTAAAATGTGCACTCTCGCAAAGACAATTTGGCGCTGATTGCAAAATAATCAGCAGGGTTTGGTCAGCACCAAAACGAAGGTTGGTTGCCGCGGGCCCGTGCATGTGTGTCCGAGAAGAGATAATCAAGCGGCGCGAGATTCTATTTTCGCGTGTCCAATGCGATAATAAATTAATTTGAATTAATAAGCGCGAAACAAAGGGACGCAGTGACGGCGCGTGAAATTCCCGATGGCACCAATGACCTCACCGACGCCTCTGACCTCTCTCCGCCTTTCCCCAAATGCGTCTGCGGCGATAAGTCGAAGAAATTAAGAAACTTTTTTATTCTTTCTCTCGACACCTCTCACGGCTCCGTCGCTCATTCAATAAATTATCGCTCCATTCATTAGCGCGCCGAGTTACATGCGTGTTGTCGGGAATAAAATAACAGAGATACATACAACGTCTTGATTTTCGTTTCGCGTGATGGATGCAGATTTAGAAATGGCCCTTTGTATTATCTGGCCGGCGAGGAGTGGCCCCGGAGATCGCGAGAAAGGTCCGCTAATTGCAAAATTAAAAACCATGTCAGTGTGATGCCGTCCGTTGTTGATGTTGTGGCATTTGCGTCTTGTAAGATGCTGTTATAAACTCGTCCCATTGTTATTTTCGGCCCTAATGGACGTAATGAGGAGAGAGAGAAGCATTTTCTCGTTTCCCTCTGATGGCGCAGGCAATTGAGATTTCCGCCTCGCGAAAATAATTAGAATG